GTTAAGTATCCCTAGAATTAAGTGGTCACACAAAAGGGCAGTATAATAAAGGCTATAGAAATGTCTGGAAGGAAGCCAGGACATACCAGGAAAGGTTTGCCAGTCCCTGTTCCGGCGGGTACGATCACTGGAAGTGACTCGGCATACAAGTAAATCCTTGAAAATCCTGCCAAGAATTTTCAATGGTCTGTGTCCAGGGGATCGAACAAGAAACTTCGTAAGGATTAAGGATATGAACCGCAGGGTGCTAGAGGAAATGAATACAACAACAGACTATGTTATTAACCAGAGAACGTAGTACAGCAGTGATCCCCTACCTGTAATTCGCGGGCGCTAGAACTACTGTATACAGTATTATGGAGACCGCAACGGTTTATAAGAGAAACAAGGTCAATTTTTTAAACATTCAGGTTACCTATTATGAACCCGAAGGTGCCCTCCAGCCCGTAATTAATTATTTTTAAACCAAATATACGTGACTTGGTTCGGGTTACTATTTAGTAATCTGAATTGTTATTGGAACATTTCAGGATAAGCCTTCTGGCCATTATTTTAAACATTCCGGGTAGCAACTCGGAACAACAATCCCGAACATCGGTTTACTTTTTAGTGACCTGACAAATGGATGCATCAAGCTCCATTAACAGCTTGTGCATTCGGGTTACCATTTAGTAACTGTAATGCTGCAACTCGGGAGGGTTGATAGGCCTAGGCATGATAAACATAACAAATCAGCTTGATCTGTGGCGCCAAATAGAGAAATGGCAACTTGCTTGACTAAAACACAAAAGCGAACACTAAAAGACATGATAAAAGAACACAATACTGTATTGTACTGTACTGTACTGCATTTTCCTCTTAATGGAGAATATAAAACCATAGTACAGTTCACAAGTGTGTTTCTGTGACCTGGTGGAAATCTACTTGCCTGTTATTTGTCTGTGCACTGATACCGATCATCGGGTAGTTACCGAGGACTGGCTGGACAGCCAGTGGTAATTCGACGACACTTGTGAGGTATCTACTGCTTCTGTACATACGACCCTAGCCGCTGGTAACCAGTGGTGGAAGCTGGGTAAGCGGTGAAAAGAGGAGAGTCGTAACAGTATTATTATATAAGAAAGATCCAAGATGATACAAAATGTGTTTGGTAGATTGTTGAGGCAATAGTGTACAATAAGTGTCACCTGTGAGACTGACTGATAATCACCATAGAAAAAATATCCATGTTATATTTAACTGTTTGGGTTGTTGTTCTGGTGGTGCTTACAACAGTATGTACTACCAGTGTTTGTTAGGTTAGGTTACCTAAAATATCTTTTAAGGGTATATGACGTTCATACCTAACCTATAATCAGGGTTGGAAAAAAGTGTCACAATTTATTAATGATAAGACACTACTGTACAGTATATTAAATCATGCCATAAATATCATTAATTTATAAAACCACAAAAATATAACATTTAAATACAAATGAGATAGGAAGAATTACTTAGTAGTTTTAAGTCTGGCCTGACTAAGATAAAATTAAATTGATAGCTGATCATCTAGTAATAACAGTGAACAATAAATAAATTATTTTACTGTACAACACTGCACAATTGTTCTTAATTCAAAATAATTTTGTAAACTAAAATAGCAGTGTAATATAATTAACTGGCAATATCCCTGATAATTTCATTAAGTAAGGGACAGGCATATTAATTCTACAGTATTGTTCTGTACTGCCAATTTTGTCTTAATTCTTAATATTGTACATACAGGCAGGCATCTCTCGCTGTACAAGTGTCCGCTCTGCCAATAATCTACATAATAACAAATATTCTATTCTTACACCACTTTCTCACTATACAAGGTACCTTAAGGTAATGTACTAAGTTTATACTTCATTCATGTTTTGTGATAGATGCTAAATTACAGTAATTAGGTACTAAAGTGCAGTAGTTAGGTTCTAATTTACAGCAGTTAGGTAGGTTTTTGGTGTTTGTGAACTGATTTCATTTGTTTTAGGAATACATTGGGGGTTTCTTGTAGTAAGCAACTAAACTACAATAGTTAGGTACTAATTTACAGCAGTTGCTAACTGCACACCTTATTCCCATGGGTGACAAGGAATAAAATTATTCTAAATTGAAGGTCTACCAACCCTCCCGAGTTGCGGCATTAAGGTTACTAAATGGTAACCCGAATGTCCAAGCTGCTAATGGAGTTTAACGAATCCATTGTCAGATTACTAAAACTTAACCCGACATTCGGATTGCTCTTCGGACTTGCTGCCCGAAATGTTTAAAAAATGACCGAGTGACTGCAGGTCTACAACCCTATCCTTATCAGCAGTATCTAGGATAATGTTATTCACAGACCTGCTGTAAATTTGGGTGGTGGTGCTAGGTGCAGAGTCTTATACACGATTACACGATAAATGAAGAATAAGAGGAAAGATTATCACCCCCGGTAGTGTTATCAGAGCATTATAGTTCATGGTGTAATGTTCGCTTTTGTTAGTGGGGATTACCAACACCACCACAACTACTACTACCATTATTACTACCAACATTCCTACTACTATTAATAATAACTGCTACAACTGAAGACTGAATTTACCACGCAGACGCAAAAAAAAAAAAAAAAAAATAATAATAATAATAATAATAAAAAAATAATAATAATAATAAAAATAATAATAATAATAATAATAATAATAATAATAATAATAATAATTTCCATCTGCACCTTTACAACACACCGGACCAAGAATACAGAACACTCATGATTTATGTATTCCTGTTAATATACCTGTCTTAACTGTACGTGATATACAGAATACAGTACATGGTTACACAATGCATTACACAATCACAAGTACCAACCTGGCCTCGTCGTTGTGAATAAAGGCTCCAAACCCAAGAGCAGAATTTGTTTTTGTTGATTGTATATGTCGCCTCCATTACTGTAATATTTATATAATTGTTATACCTCTACATGTGTCTATATCACGACTATAACACAATGAATAGTTTCAGGATTATTCGTATATATAGATTAGATTAGGTTAGGGTGTAATGTGTGTTCTATGTGATAATTTAGAACAGGATCTATCATGTTGTTTCAAGCCTTGTGTCCAACTAACTATTTAACCATTCTTACTTGAAGGCGGGTACATCTATCTATCTATCCTTCAAAGTAGATAGTGTGACAACAATTCATTTAGTTATACCATCATACAAGTTCACATTGATTCACCATGTATACATACAGTGTATATATATACGGGCAGGGATCCGGACAAAACCCCCTCAAGTGAAGTGCAAAGTAGGACAAAAACAAACTTATTTAGAGTAAAAAAAAAAAAGAACAAATACCCCTTTTTTGTAAATTTTCGGGCTTTAAGTCTATTGTAATAATATTAGTTTAGGTTAGGTTAGGTTAGGTTAGGTTAGGTTAGTTTAGGTTAGTTTAGGTTAGGTTAGGGGCTTTTGTCTTTTTTTTACTCTAAATAAGGGTTTTTTATCCTACTTTGCACTTTACTTGAGGGGGTTTTGTCCAAGGGGTTTTGTCCTACACTCATACAGGCAATGTATACAAACATTGTACATAAACAGTGCCGGTATTAAACGTCATAAACGATATAAAACGTCTTAAACGATATAAAACGTCAAAAACGATATAAAACGTCACAAACGATATAAAACGTCTTAAACGATATAAAACGTCAAAAACGATATAAAACGTCACAAACGATATAAAACGTCTTAAACGATATGAAACGTCAAAAACGATATAAAACGTCTTAAACGATATAAAACGTCAAAAACGATATAAAACGTCACAAACGATATAAAACGTCTTAAACGATATAAAACGTCAAAAACGATATAAAACGTCACAAACGATATAAAACGTCTTAAACGATATAAAACGTCATAAACGATATAAAACGTCTTAAACGATATAAAACGTCATAAACGATATAAAACGTCTTAAACGATATAAAACGTCTTAAACGATATAAAACGTCATAAACGATATAAAACGTCATAAACGATATAAAACGTCTTAAACGATATAAAACGTCATAAACGATATAAAACGTCATAAACGATATAAAACGTCATAAACGATATAAAACGTCATAAACGATATAAAACGTCTTAAACGATATAGGTGTATGTACACTGTTACAGGGGTGCCCTCCCTCTACACAGTACAGTAGACACTTAACTTAACCTAACCTTACTAAACTCAAGTTATAAAGCAGGTCGAGGGATTAGGACAGGTGACGCAATATGATCTTAGGAGAAATGTATTAAATTTTAAACTGCAAGAGAAATTAAGTTTATTTTGCCTATATATGTAATACGACTATTGCAGACAATTTTAATAATGATAGTAAGTATTTTTTTTCAATATATTCCTGTTCTTTAAATACTATGGTTACGGTGACTTTACATTTATACGCTTTCCTCTTTCATATTATTTCATGTTTCCCATCAAGAGTTATTCCTTCTGTTTTAAGGTGAAGATGATGTGGTATAATTATTGAATGAACTTATCAATACTAGGAAAGTGTTGTATCATCGTGGTTCAATAGGATGTGTTACTGAGTCATGATCAGGTGCTAGTGAGTAACACGCACACACACACACGGCATCACAAAAAAATAAGTTGCACCAAGTTATCTTAATACTGTAGTGGGAAAAAAAATGGAAATTACGAGAATATCCCGAACATGCAAGTTATCACATGTACGACAGTGCCTGCGCAGTGTCTGTGTGGGGGTGCCAACGAGCCTTTAATTATCTCTCTTCTTAAAAATATATCATATACTCAAGGGCATATAATTAATTTACCCGAGGAGAAGGAGGATGGGGAGGGAGAACATAATTATACAGTAATATGAAGAGTTACTGAAACGTTCACATAAAGAATGTTACGAATAACAACACATTTGGCAATATTACGAGACACGCAGGCAGCAGGAACGTTTGGTAAGGGACGTCAAGACAGAATCGTTTGTGGCATAGGCTACGGATATAAACACTAAAGCCCAAGAGGAGTGGCAGTAACGGAGTAGACTTGAGTTCCTTATCATCTTTGCTGCCGACACTTAAAACTGGACGTCTTCTACGCTCCTCAGCTGCCTAAAGGTATACCTAACTCTCGATGGATAATAAACTTTAATCAGTATAATACTATTTGTGTTACGTTACCTATTTGTGTCCGAAAATTGGATGTTTGAATGTTATGTTACCTCATCGTGTTCAATGAGTGTATTGTGGATCAATTTTAAAGTGACAGATGTATAATGTTTTAGTGGGGAGTTACATGCAGACATTCTTGTCTCACAAATTTGCTTAGCTTTTTCTCAGAAGTATATGAAGCGGTAGATAATGATGAGTCATATGATATAATTTATTTAGATTTCAGTAAAGCATTCGATAGAGTCCCTCATGAGAGATTGATAAGGAAGGTAGAAGCACATGGAATAGGTGGATCATTATTAAAATGGATTAGGTCATGGTTAACTGGTAGGAAACAAAGAGTCAGCATAAATGGATTTAAGTCAGACTGGGGTGCGGTCAAAAGCGGAGTTCCCCAGGGATCTGTATTAGGCCCTCTGCTGTTTGTTATATTCATTAATGATCTTGATTTAGGTATAACTAGTAGGATTAGTAAATTTGCAGATGATACCAAAATGGGGAGAGTGATAAATTCAGACAGTGACTTTGAACACCTTCAAAGAGATCTAGATACCTTACATGAGTGGTCAGTAGACTGGCAAATGAATTTTAATACTGATAAATGCAAGGTACTACAGATAGGGAAGACGAATACAAACGTTAAGTATAAACTAGGTAACACGGAAATAGAAAACTCAGATTGTGAAAAAGATCTAGGTGTATTTGTTAGCAACGACTTGAAACCTAGAAAACAATGTATTAGCGTTCGCAACAAGGCAAACAGGATTCTTGGGTTCATATCTAGGAGTGTGAGCAACAGAACTGCTGACGTTATCTTGAAACTTTACCTAGCATTAGTGAGGCCACACATGGATTATGCGGTTCAATTCTGGTGTCCTTATTATAGAATGGACATATGATTCTTTGGAGAGAGTACAAAGAAGAATGACAAAAATGATCCATAATATAGAAACCTTCCATATGAAGAAAGACTGAAAAGCTTAGGCTTGCATTCATTAGAGAGGCGTAGAGTTAGGGGAGATATGATAGAGGTGTTCAAGTGGGTAAGTGGGATTAACAAGGGTAAAATGGAAGATGTTCTGAAGCTCAGTAATAACGAAATAACTAGAACAAATGGCTTTAAATTAGATAAGTTCCGATTCAGAAAGGATATAGGCAAGCACTGGTTTGGTAATAGAGTTGTGGATATGTGGAATAGGCTACCGAGTGCTATAGTAGGATCGGGGACGCAAGGGAGCTTCAAGACGAAGTTGGATAGGCACATGGAAGTGCTGGGATGGGTGTGAAAGGGATCTGCCCTGTATGGGCCAGTCGGCCTCCTGCAGTATCCCACTTTCTTATGTTCTTATGTAGACGAATAATTGAATGACAGGAATTAATTACATAACATTTTAACGGGAAGAACTAATTATATAACTAAACTTGACGAAAATTAATTGAAAATTCTTATGTGAAACCCTTGTGTTGCAGAGTGAAGCCTGTCCACCACCACCACTGACCTGACCAAGCCTCTCCACCACTGACCTGTCCAAGCCTGTCCACCACTGACCTGACCAAGCCTGTCCACCAGTGACCTGACCACGCGAGTTGTTTCCGTGTGTGTGTCAACCAGAGGATCAAACTGAATAAGATGAATTTTCCTTGTCACGATAACCAACACCTCACCTTATCCAGCCACCTGAAAACCGAGTTCAAACAAGAACCACTTCAGATCAAACAAGAACCACTTCAGATCAAACAAGAACCACTTCAGGGCGGTCCTGTGACAATGTCGCTCCCTTCACCCGGTGCCTCTCCCCAAACTATTTACACTTCTCCCGCCGCTACTATGATTAATGGTGAGTGGCCGGTATCACAGCCTCCTGTTGCCGCTACCGCCCCGGCGCCATTAGTACCAATGCTCGTGTGCCTGAATCCCCAGTCACCAGAGAACAGCCAGTACACCACCATGAGGCTGAACCAGGCCGCTCTTGCCTCCTTCCTTCAAGCGAGTCCAGGAAGCTCACGTACCGTCCTACTGCGTAACGCTAATGATGCTTCCACCACCATACCTACTGTAGTGACTCACATAACGACGACCCAGCTGCTACAAGAGAGGGATCAGCTGCTCCAGGAGAACAAAGACCTACAGCACAAAGTCACTCAGTTCCAGAAACTCTTTAAAAACAAGAAGAAGTTGACCTCTGTCTTGAGGTCGCTGGGTATTAGAGCACAGTGATGTCCCGGCCTAAATCACCTCTCACACTCCACCCGAGGGACTCCAAAATAAAGCCTGTCTTTGTGTTATTGTCTCTTAATGAGGTGTATTAATATCTTGGTGCTATTGTCTCAAAGATAAAGTAATCTGTCTTCAAATATAAAATAAATAAATAATGAAAGAAGTTGACATATACGTTGAATAATTTACAATAATGACACCTTTATTCAGTAACATACACTAATGACATAATGAATTTTTGTTTATTAATACATAAGTAAAGTATACACACTACCCGTATATACAAGGTAGTGAACTAATACACACTATCATGGCAATGTTCGTCACTGAATAAGACACTAATAATCTTTTATTGTTTAACCTATGTAATACAGTAGCTACTTAGTGTATTTCGTGTGTCATTCATAATAGACAACTGCTTCACATATCTACCTAAAATATACATGTATACCTCTGAAGATGTCTTGAATAAAGACGAAAGCTAAGGTGCTCCGTTGTTTCCCTTTTCCCGTATGATTTTATCAAGATTTATCTTATCCACGTTTTCATTGTGGATCTACATGAAATAGGAGTATATAAGAACATAAGAAAATAAGGAGTCTGCAATAGGCCGGTTGGCCTGTGCATGGCAGCTCCTGTCGAGAGTTACTACCACTCTCTATCATCCATGAATCGATCTAGCCTCCTTTTGAAACTTTCCAGAGTTCCCGCACTTACTACAAAGTTGCTAAGCTTGTTCCACTCGTCCACCACCCTATTTGTGAACCAGTTTCTTCCTATCTCCCTCCTAAACCTAAACTTATCCAACTTGAATCCGTTGCTCGAGTCCTATCCTGCTCGGATATTATAAGAACTTTATCTATCCCCTTTATTGATTCCTTTCACCCACTTAAATACTTCTATCATATCTCCCCGCACTCTTCGTCTTTCTAGGGAATGCAAGTTAAGTTTCTTTAACCTATCCTGATATGGAAGGTTTCTAAGTCCCGGAATCATTTTTGTCATTCTTCGCTGCACCGACTCTAGTGAATTTATATCCATTCTATAATAGGGGCACCAGAACTGAACCGCATAATCGAGGTGCGGCCTAACTAGCGCAAGATATAGTTGCAATAAGACCTCTGCACTCTTGTTGCTTACACTTCTAGATATAAAACCCAATACTCTGTTTGCCTTATTTCGAACATTAACGCACTGTTTTCTAGGCCGTAGGTCCGGGCTTACAAGTACCCCTAGGTCTCTTTCACAAGTCGACTTCTCTAGGTTGATGTTGTTAAGGCTGTATACATTATAAGTATTTGTTCTTCCAATATTAAGTACGCTGTACTTGCTGGTGTTGAATTTCATTTGCCATTTTTCAGACCACCACTGCAGTTTATTTAGATCCTCCTGTAATGCATTTGCATCCTGCCCTGAATTAATTTGCCGCCCTATTTTGGTGTCATCCGCAAACTTGCTTATGGCACTGCTGATCCCAGTATCTAAATCGTTTATGTAGATTATGAACAAGAGTGGGCCTAGTACTGACCCCTGGGGAACCCCACTGGTTACACGGCCCCACTCAGATTTAACATCATCTACGCTGACCCTCTGCGTTCTATCGGTGAGCCATGATTTTATCCAATTTAAAACTTTCCCCTCGACACCATGAGCCTTAATTTTTCTCAGAAGCCTCTGATGCGGTACTCTGTCAAATGCTTTGCTAAAGTCTAAGTAAATAACATCGTAATTTTCGTCATTATCTACTACCTCGAAGACTTTCCTAAAAAACGTTAGCAGATTTGTTAGACAAGATTTTCCCTTTGTAAACCAATGTTGAGAGTCGTAGATTAATTTGCTTTTCTCTAGATGCGATCGGATGCTATCTGCTGTAATTGATTCAAGAAATTTCCCCACTACTGACGTCAAACTGATCGGCCGGTAATTTGAAGCTGATGCTCTGTCTCCCTTTTGGAATATGGGTACTACATTTGCCTGTTTCCACAACTCTGGCACAACTCCAGTGTCTAATGATTTTGTAAATAAGTTTACGAGGGGTCCGCTAATCTGTTCCCTACACTCTTTTAAGACTCGAGGAAAAATTTCATCCGGCCCTGGGGATTTTGTATTCTTTAGTTTATTTATCTTCTTAAGAACATCCTCTTTTCTGATAGTGATATTCTTTAATTTCTCTTCTTCCTTTCCCTTAAATATCAGTTCCACCTCCGGAATTTCATCGCAAATTTCTTCTGTGAAAACTGATAAGAAGTAGCTGTTCAATGCTTTGCTTATTTCTCCACTGCCATTTATCAATTCTCCCCTCCCTGACTTTAAAGGCCCAACTTTGTCCTTGACCTTTGTCCTATATACCTGGAAAAATCCCTTGGGATTCGCCTTGGATTCTCTTGCTATTTTGATTTCATAGTCTCTCTTTGCTTTCCTTACATTTTTCTTAACATTCCTAGATAGTTCATTATACCTGTTTCTGAGCTGCTCCTCCCCTCCCTTTAATTTCTTATATATTCCTTTCTTTATTCCTATAGTGTTTATATACTATACATATAGGAATATATATACCTGTAGTGTTTATATACATAAAGGAATATATACCTGTAGTTTTTATGCACATAAAGGAATATATACCTGTAGTGTTTATATACACAGGAATATATACCTGTAGTGTTTATATACATAAAGGAATATATACCTGTAGTGTTTATATATATAAAGGAATATATACCTGTAGTGTTTATATACATAAAGGAATATATACCTGTAGTGTTTATATACATAAAGGAATATATACCTGCAGTGTTTATATACACATAGGAATATATACCTGTAGTGTTTATATACATAAAGGAATATATACCTGTAGTGTTTATATACATAAAGGAATATATACCTGTAGTGTGTATATACATAAAGGAATATATACCTGCAGTGTTTATATACACATAGGAATATATACCTGTAGTGTTTATATACAAGGTAACACCGTGGTCAAAAATCCAGTGTAAACCACGATCAACACCAACCACAGCCAGGGTTTATACTAATACAAATCTATACCAATACACCACGGTCATATCTGCATTGTAACCATCCCTCTTGTAAGGCCCCCCTAAAAAAACATCCCCAAAAACTTTAAAAAATAATAAAAATTTTAATGTTAATACAGTGAAACCTCTATTTAATGGGGGTCACTGTGCATAGTTTAAGACCACTTCCATGAATATTTTAAGTGTTTAAGTGTCCAGTATAAGTAATGACCACTGAAGTGTACTTTAAGTGGCTGCAGTAATAAATATCTGAACGAATTCTTGTGTATTGAGAGAAGCCTTTATGTCGTTGTGTGTTGGTAGAGAGAGGTAGAGAGGGAGACGGGAACAGAGAGGAGAGAGAGATGGGGAGACGGAAACAGAGAGGAGAGACGACTGAAAGAGAGGGATAGACAGACAGAGAGAGAGGGAGAGACGGAAAGAGATATATAAAGGCAGACAAAGAGACAAAAAAATGAAAAAATGCACTAATGCTGAATATAACTTAAATTTACGACAACCATAATAATAGACTCAGACATTATTGAACAGGAGCATACATGAATAACAATAGAACCGATCATTATATCACTAAATTGAACAGACTCCATACATGGTGAACAGCTGAGTAGGAGACAAAGTTTAGAACAATTTATATATATCTAAGGAACTATTAAGGCTAAATACAAAAAAATGATATAATTAGCTATTTTTTCTCATCAATCCCGAGCCTTAAATTTAAAATAATCACTTCGTATCTTTTGGACAGTGAGAAAGATGTTCTTGAGACAGTTACATGACGGTAAAATATCCCTCACAGGTGTTAGTAAAAATCGATTACTCATATTTATGTTAAAACTATAAGTCAGGATTGTGAAGCCCAAAATGACCACTATATTAACATTCGTGTATAAGGATAAATAGTATATAACTCGGCAAGATACGTCAAAGATTCACACCCATTGGATATATCTGCCAACCCTATGATCGTGAATTATAGAGATGGTCCGAGATATAGCAAATTATAGAGATGATCCAGGTAGGTAATTAAGGACAGTGGGCAGGTGAGGAAGATGACTGTGATTTAAATGTTCGCTGTTCAAGGACGAATACCGTAAGCAGATAGTGGCTGGGGACCTTAGTTCATAACCTAACCTAACCTCTTGTAACTTAACCTAACTTTAACCTAACCTAACCTAATGTAACCTAAACTTAATGGAACCTAACCTTAACATACCCTAACCTAACTTTAACCTAACCTTAATAGAACCTAACCTAACCTTTTTTTTCCTAACACGAAGATGAGATACATTGCAATAAACAAGAAGCTTTTTTTGAGATAACACCTACAGTTAAGTGAAGGGATCTGGTCATCAAACAGTCCCCGGCCCGGATTTTGTTGACTTGTTCCTTCATTATTATGTGGTCTGTGTTGTGCTCTACGATATGAGTCCTGCACTCTCCTATATGAAAGGAAAGTTCGTATACTGTGTCTTAAGATGTTTTTAAATAACATCGTTGATTCACCACACTGACCAGCATCAAGTCAGGCAACTAATCACACGGCTGTCTTTACTGTAGCTCCGAGATCCAAGTGAAACCAAGAGAGAACTCAAAAACTAGTACAGTAGGTCACGTCTTACACAAATACGAACATACAAAAAAGTAGGTCCTAAAACAGACCCTTGTGGTACTCCTGTCACAAAGAAATTTTCCTTCTCTATTTATACTCCGCGAGCAAGTGACTTATTCGGATAGCTTTTGTGTATGAAGCTCTGTCCTGTGTGGCAGTGAACAGTGATCCCATCCTCAATGTCATTACCTGAATGACCTACCCAGATTAGGCAAATTGTACCCCAACTTTGTAAAATAACTTTGAGAAATTAGATAAGATCACAAGAGGAGTTTGATAAAGACTGCTGCTATCATCGTCCCTATCTTTCTCTCTCACTCCTTCCTCTCCTCCCCCCCTGCCTCCTTCCCTATACATCTCTCTTTCTCCCTTCCTCCATCACTCCCTGCCTCCGTCTCTCCTCTCTTACTTTCCTCTCGCTCCTCCTCTTTCCCTTCTTCCCTCACCGCCCCCCCCCCACACACACATACACACACACTCACCTCCTCCCTCAACACACACACTCACACACCTCCTACTCCTTCTCCCACACACTCATAACCTTTTCCTCTCCCCCACAGTAAGAGTCACAGCTGATAACGGGTCAGCTAAAAGTGTTACTGACTACACCTTAAGTAACGTCTCAGAATAACTCTCACTCACCTCCTCCCACCCACTTCCCCTCCCTCACTCTTACCTCCTCCGTCCTCAGAGCGTCCATGACTGTACTGGAAGTCTAGAGAATAAATGTACCGCACAAATACTCACCACGAAATGCAAAAGAGGACAAATAATAAATGTCAGTTTTGATGTTAATTGATTGATGATAACATAATAGGCTAACAGAGTACTTGGGTTCATACAAAGGAATGTTAGTTACAAGACTAGCGAGGTCACCGTATTACAGAATGGATATAGAATCCTTGGAAAGAATTCAGAGGAGAATGACAAGACTAATCCCGGGCATTAGGAACCTTGAATACAGAGACAGGTTAAAGCTGCTTAATTTGCACTCCCTCAAGAGACGTAGAGTGAGGGGCGATATGATAGAGGTGTATAAATGGAAGTCAGGGATGAACAAAAGGGACATTACAAAGGTACTCAAACTATCCAACCAGGAGTGAACTCGTAACAATGGTTTTAAATTAGACAAATTTAGATTTAGGCGCGAAATAGGTAAACACTGGTTTGGAAATATAGTGGATGAGTGGAACAAGTTACCAAATATCATCATTAACTCGAATACGCTGGGTAGCTTCAAACATAAGTTGGATGGATATATGAGCAATAGGGGTTGGGTGTAAATGGGACTGCCCACTGCCCAGTATGGGCCAATAGGCCCGCTGCAGTTTCCTCCATTCTTATGTTCTTATGTTCTTATAGTCTGAAGTGACTGTTCACAGAAGAATATTTATAATTGAAGATCTAAGTATTAATATACACTGACTTACTCAAGTTATGAGTACATGTACTGTACTGCCTCATGTTAAGTGTGTGTGGCGGATCCTGGAGTTGTCGTGTTATCCAGGTGACCTATGACGAGTGTCCGCCGCACCCTACACCAAGCACTGAGGTCAGCCTTACTGGACGACATTGCCGCACCTACTACACGGAGAAGGTTCAGGCACCACGCCAGGGAGTCGAGGACCTTCTGGGAGACATGCGACGTACAGCCTTCACCCCCGAAGACGCTGACGGTCCTCCTGCACCAGAGGCACCACCATCTGGAGGACAGAAAGACGCGTCCGAGGACACGAACATCCTGCAGGAGCCGCCCCTCCTGCGGCTCCTGCATCAACACCGTCGGCGTTAAACCTCAACATTTCATAACCAGAAGCAACGTTGTCACCGGCCCCCGATGGACTACCTCTCTTGGACCAGAGGTCAGTCCTGCACCACTGAGGACCAGTTGAGGTGCATCAAAGTTTTAACACCACACTAGCACGATTAACGAGCCCCTTCATCACAATATCTTAACCCCTAAAACTGTGATTATTTAACCCTTTAATTACAAGGATAATTACCTTTAGTATGATGTTTAACTTTTTTAGAGTTTACTTCTTAGTCCCCCCCCCCTCCCCCTTCAGTTATAGAAATGGTGGTGGGGGCCAGGGGGGGGGGGGTATTGTGGTCATAACTAATGGCGTCTGTCTGTCTGTGAGTCAGTGGCAATTATGGTTTCCGCTGGACTTAAAAGATCATAACGAGGTCTTTGTTGGCACTGTGTTCCGGTCACCTAACCTAACCTGACTTGACCTAACCTATCCTATCCTAACCCGATCTAACCTCTCTTAATCTAAATAACACCAATGCATCCTATCCTAATCTAACCTAACCTAACCCAACCTAACCTAACCTATCCTAACCTAACCTAACCTAAATTAATTATTAGGTTATAGGTGTTATTTTTTATTTTTATTTATACCACTTACCACCATCACCACCTACCACTATCATCACCTACCACCATCACCACCTACCACCATCACCACCTACCACTATCATCACCTACCACCATCACCACCTACCACTATCACCACCTACCACTATCATCATCCACCACCATCACCACCTACCACTATCATCATCCACCACCATCACCACCTACTACCATCACCACCACACCTACCACTATCACCACCTACTATCATCCACCCATCACCACCACACTCCACCACCTACCACTATCATCATCCACCTACCACCATCACCTACCACCATCACCACCTACCACTATCACCACCTACCACTATCATCATCCACCACCATCACCACCTACCACTATCATCATCCACCACCATCACCACTTGCTATTGTCATCACCTATCACCATCAGCACCTACCACCATCATCACCTACCACTATCATCATCCACCACCATCACCACCTACCACCATCACCACCTACCACCATCACCACGACCTACCACCACACTGACAACCACTACCAACCACCTCAGCCACAATAAATCCGGTGGTTGGGTTTTTATCAGATGACTCAGTTCGTTTGTATCCGTAGAAGTAACTGATACTGAGAAGGGCGTGAGGGCCGTATGAGGACTTCTAAAGAGACACCTTCTGCAGCCACTACAGAAAGGTGTTGGGCAAGACTGGTAGCTAGAGGTACAGTCGCCTACACATATACCTGGTACAGTGGCTGGCATGTTTTATGAGATGTGGCAACTCTGTAGACCCGGGAATGCTTATATTTTCTTTTTTCTTTTTTTACGGGGAATAGCCCACCCAGGCACAGGTCACCAATCCACACAGGGGCTACCTGGCAAAAAAAAAAAAAAAAATTAATAAATATAGGAATGGAAAAAAAATCATTAGGGAAATTAAGAGTGAAAAACCATATATGTATGTTGTGTTGTCAAAGAAAGATAAACAATTGAGACCTGCAATTGTGTGTAAATGAGGCAGAAAGTCAGATTAGCAACCTGGGACTTGGTCACATATGGCAGCAGGGTCTACCATTAGATAACACATTATGCTTTCAATATCTTCTCAAGCGATAGTACCTCCCTGTTTGATAGCTGCCTACTACCTGAGTCTGGCTATTATTGTCAGGTTCCTTCGGGGCCATTCTGGGAGGTTATTTTTTATATGATGTAAACAAACAGAGAGCTGCCACATCCCACAAAACATGACAGCTACTGTACCAGGTATAAGTGAAGGCGACAGTACATATAGCTTTACCAGGTACACCCTATGTCATCACCCCATAACACCACCCTACACTACAATCAGCCACTCACTACCTGCCCACCCCATATCAGTAAACACCCCACACCTACCTCACCTCGACGACCACCCGCATGTTCGCGCTAACCTAACCTAACCTAACAATGTCCCCGCTCTCAAAACATTACTCACTGTGAAAGCTAAAACATTACAGCCCCCCCCCCCCTCCAGTCACTTAGATGAGTTAACTAATACAGGTAACACAGGTATCTTACTATAATATATACCATTACCTGTCTTAGTTAGCGAGAATTATACCTACCAGTGTGAGGTTACCAGGAGCCACCAGTAAGCCATTTTATTATAAATCATGAGCCAGACTACATCAATTTCTCACCCACCAAAAGACTACACCAATTTCTTGTCCCTCGTCAACTATTATGGACACAACTAAGTAAATAATGTAGAGGATATACTCTGTTACTCTCAACGTCGCCATATCCTGACTACTGGGGTTAGGTTAGGTTAGGAACACAATCACCACCACCAACATAACCATCAACCACACACACCCCTAGAGGTAGGTCGTATCTTAAGTCTTGGAGGTTATTTGCTCCAGCCTCTGATCTCTCAAACAAACAGACAAACGAAAAGGAAGATATGCTTCCCAGAGGAGCCTGTGTGTGTGTGTGTGTGTGTGTGTGTTAAGAAGTTATAATCCTTGTTTATGTTAAGGAGAGAGAGAGAGAGAGAGAGAGAGAGAGAGAGAGAGAGAGAGAGAGAGAGAGGGGATGACGTTACGTTCACGGGTGTGTGGGAGAGCGCTTGTGTATGTATTAAGGTCATATGAGGTCTGTGGTGTGGGAGGTGGGGAAAGGTGTTTATATCATCCACTAACAACAATACAAAGAATTTTATTACCATTATCAGATATGGAATTGATAAACCAGCGTGGAGTAGAGTATCGCAGATATAACGGTGAAGCAACCAGAACACTAGCACCACTGTAAACGTGGACACGATGGAAACAAAGAGATCCACTCACTGCACTCAGTTACTGGTGCCTGTCTGTGCAGGGATACGAACATAAAATTACTGCTACTAGTACTACTACTACTACTACTACTAATAATAATAATAATAATAATAATAACAATACTACAACTACTATCCCCTTTTTGCACTTTAATTCCACTACTTTTCAGTTTATTTTGAACAGTTCAAAACTCGAAACAATTAAGTATCATTCGAATCAGTTTCATAAAAAGGAATATCACTGAACCAATACTCGAGACACTTCATAACAGTTAGACAAAGTGTATCTGTACAGACATTTTATAAAAATATGTGCGTCAATAGGGCAAATATTAATAACACTGATAATATTACAATATATACACGGTAACATTATCGAAAACGTAATGCCGTACTGCTAGAAGACTGTTTGAGAGACTTTATGGGTTCGAATCCCGTAAGACACCCATATTTATACCTACGGTTGACTACTGTATGTACAATATGTTGGTGATCTGTCGGTGTAATATCTGTAAGGCTGTCCAAGTAATCTGATGGAATGTCGATTTATAATGAGATGGTGTCAAAGGTTATGACACTGGTATAATGCAAAATATTGTCTATATATTATGAATTTCTGTGGGAGTAAAGTGCAAAAAGGGTACTATTGCTACTAAAAGTACTACCAACACCAACTACTACTATTAATTAACAATAATAACAACGGAAATATTACAATTATAAAAAGTAATAATAATAACACCAAAACAAATTGTTCTTGGTGCATATAGGAAATCCTACTGCGTAACGTTTTGAGTACGATCTGACTAAGCAGCTTCCTCACGTCCTCAAACGTTACGTATCTTTAAACCGAAGAAAATATTATTGGAACGTATACCACATATACCGCCTCATTTATTAATATAGGAAAATGCAAGAGACAATATTTATTCAGCTGAACACTCGACATTAGGAATATATAGTACAATGGCCGAACCTACTACAGAAAACGGATATTTGATGACGTCACGCTTAAACAAACCCAGAGCGGATATTTATACTCTTGTTATTTCTGGGACGGAAATGATCTCCAACAACAAACATTACTCAATTGTACTGTCATATATATTTTTATAATTACATATTTATAAAAGGGTCTTATAAATTTTGTCAACTGATATAAGAGATTACTAGACCATAATAACACTACTTTATAACAGACGGGCAATGGGTGACCTAACTGAGGTGTAAAAACATCTCAAGGGGCACTACTCAGTCGAGTGTCCCTATACCTGGAGCTGGCGGACGCTCGCCTCACAAGGGGTCACAGCTCAAGGTTGAAGAAGCCTCAAGTCCAGAAAACTGTGAGGGCAAACTTTTTCGGAGTGAGAGTTGTGAACTCTTTGAACAATCTGCCAGAGAGTGTTGTGATGGCACCGAATGTGAGCTCTTTCAAAACCAAACTTGACCAACACTGGAGCGGGTTCAGATACATTCAGGAGCCGGTGCATGCCCAGTACTTGCCAACAGTGCGTGACATTGATGTGATCGACCGCCCAAGTGGCTAACGAGCCGATCAGTGCTGAAGAGGATAAAAGTATAGCTGTTGAACACTACATCATTGCTTTTGAGCACTACATTATAGCTGTTGAGCACTACATTATAGCTATTGAGCACTACATTATAGCTGTTGAGCACTACATTATAGCTGTTGAGCACTACATTATAGCTGTTGAGCACTACATTATAGCTGTTGAGCACTACATTATAGCTGTTGAGCACTACATTATAGCTGTTGAGCACTACATTATAGCTGTTGAGCACTACATTATAGCTGTTGAGCACTACATTATAGCTGTTGAGCACTGCATTATAGCTGTTGAGCACTACATTATAGCTGTTGAGCACTACATTATAGCTGTTGAGCACTACATTATAGCTGTTGAGCACTACATTATAGCTGTTGAGCACTACATTATAGCTGTTGAGCACTACATTATAGCTGTTGAGCACTACATTATAGCTGTTGAGCACTACATTATAGCTGTTGAGCACTACATTATAGCTGTTGAGCACTACATTATAGCTGTTGAGCACTACATTATAGCTGTTGAACATTACTTTTCATTGTAAATCACGAGTTTAACAGCCAGGAGAAAATAACACATCATACAATTAATTTTACTTAACTACACCACCATTAAGTAGATGATAATAATAATAATAATAATAATAATAATAATAATACAGAAGCATCATCATACAAGTTTACAAATGGTTTGGTATGTATATATGAACATAAGAACATAAGAACATAAGAAAATAAGGAGTCTGCAATAGGCTGGTTGGTCTGTGCATGGCAGCTCCTGTCGAGAGTTACTACCACTCTCTATCATCCATGAATCTATCTAGCCTCCTCTTGAAACTTTCCAGAGTTCTCGCACCCACTACAAAGTTGCTAAGCTTGTTCCACCCGTCCACCACCCTATTTGTGAACCAGTTTCTTCCTATCTCCCTCCTAAACCTAAACTTATCCAACTTGAATCCGTTGCTCCGAGTCCTATCCTGCTCAGATATTATAAGAACTTTATCTATATCCCCTTTATTGATTCCTTTCACCCACTTAAATACTTCTATCATATCTCCCCGCACTCTTCGTCTTTCTAGGGAATGCAAGTTAAGTTTCTTTAACCTATCCTAATATGGAAGGTTTCTAAGTCCCGGAATCATTTTTGTCATTCTTCGCTGCACCGACTCTAGTGAATTTATATCCATTCTATAATAGGGGCACCAGAACTGGACCGCATAATCGAAGTGCGGCCTGACTAGCGCAAGATATAGTTGCAATAAGACCTCTGCACTCTTGTTACTTACACTTCTAGATATAAAACCCAATACTCTGTTTGCCTTATTTCGAAGTATGCAGGTATACAGATCAGTGTGTGTATAGACAGTGTAGGTATAGGGTGTACAGAGACCATGCAGGTATACAGTGTCCAGTGTATACCTGTAGAGCCAAGACAGTGCAGGTAAACAGTAAGGCAATTTGACCCAGGGTAGTCGACAAAGCCGTCTAACACACACACACGAAACCAACGCAATACAACCATATTACACTAATATAAGTATTATCTACAAAGTACTTGATAACAAGCTTCAAAGCATAAATACGTAACGTTTTGGGCTGCTCTAACGGATGTGCTTGCGCGCGCGTGCGTGTGTGTGTGTGTTGTGTGTGTGTGTGTGTGTGATTTACACGCAAGTCACACAGTATACCAAACTTAACCACCCTAACGCTAACGATAACCTAACCTACCACTCCCGCCTATAATCTGGCGTCAGTAGTGGCGGTAACCCTTGCCACCTTGTCACCTCACGTCTACATTATTACCCTAATGAACACAACAGGGAGGAAAGGAACTCCTGTAGGCAACTGTACAGTCAACCAAAGATGCACCGACCCCACCCTAGGTCTCGTACTGGCAATTTTACCTGGCAATACTTGGTAATGGAAGGCTGTATGTAAAGGTGATTGTGATTGGTGGATCTGTTTTCGGCTGCATCACTGTGAGGATAAATATTAAACAAACCAAAGGTAGAATTTTTATAATAATAAACTATTCATTGTTATTTAAGATCAAGAGAAGATTCCAAATGTTCGTAAATTTGTTTAAATAATGAAGAAATTATGGTCTAGGAATCTTGTGGCAGCTGTTATTGTAGTTGAGTTGCCAATTCATTAATATAATTTTCTTCACTTATTTAAATACATAGCATAACATTTAACGTTTCCTTCTCTTGTACTACATAATATATTCTGTATCGCCCACTGCACTAATTGGTCGCCTTAGCTAAAGTTATATGTAAGATTCAACACTCAAGTAGTAGTATGTGAGATATACTGAGATAACAGAGTACAGTAAATGTTCTGTTTATAAGAGGTGAGGGAGTCAATCTTATGACGTCAGTGACCTCCTCCTATAGACAGACCTTGCCCTCTGTGTGACGAGTGGGAGGTAGAGTGTCTGGGGAACTTGGTGGTGGTGGTGGTAGTGATGGTGGTAGTGGTGGTGGTGGTGGTGGTAGTGGTGATGGTGGTGGTGGTGGTGGTGATGAGAGGTGGTGGTGGTGGTGGTGGTGGTGGTGAGTGGTAGTGGTGGTGGAGGTGGTGGTGGTGATGGTGGTAGTGGTGGTGGTGGTGATGGTGGTGGTGGTGGTGGTGGTGGTGGTGGTAGTGGTGGAGGTGATGGTGGTGGTGGTGGTGGTAGTGGGCGGCATTCACGATAAGTTTGTCTAAAATGTCTGTATATCGACACAGCAAGTTAGAGAACAAGTTTATCGCCATCAGACAACACACACACACACACACAGGACACCCATTAAAACACAGACAGACACCCACTCAAACAGACACTCACTCAGACAGACATCCACTCAGATATGCAAACTCACCCACCCACTGAGACATCCACCACTGAGACATCCACCCACTGAGCCATCACACCACTGAGACATCCACCCACTGAGACATCCACCCACTGAGACATCCACCCACTGGAAACATCCACACTGAGACATCCACCCACTGAGACATCCACCCACTGAGACATCCACCCACTGAGACATCCACCCACTGAGACATCCACCCACTGAGACATCCACCCACTGAGACATCCACCCACTGAGACAGACAGCCAGACAGACACTCAGACGATAACAACTTATCACATCATGTCAGTATTCTGTTAACTAGTTTATATAAATAGAACATAAATATTAATACTGTTTAACGAGGCCGAGAGAGATCAATTTATACTAAACCTGGGCGTGGACAGACATATAAACAAATGATAAAATTACAATTGGTTATCGACTTGTAAGGGGCCTCAGCTCCCCCCCTCCATATCTCTTTCTCTCCTTCCCTTGTCTCTCTGTCTCTCTCTCTTTGTTTATCTTTTTTCCTCTCTTCCTCCCTCTCTCTATCAGTTTGTCCCTCCCCCCCCCTCTCTCTGTCTCTCTCTACATATTATAAAGCTCGCTCACTCAACACACTGCAGAAAGCCTTTACGCCGCAGACATAAATTACCTTAATGGGTCACGTACATCACTGGCCGGTGTCTCCAAGGCTATCAGGCTCAACTGTCCTGGTGAAGCTAGTAGACTCATAACACACACACACACACACACACACACACTAACACATACATACATACATACACAGAGGTGGAGGTGTTTGCTACCTAATTGATACTTTAATAAAAATGAATACAAATTAATGGAAATTATAAGAATATCAAATAAAATATAATATACTATCACTACTTATTTTTTTTTAAACGTGGCCTCCAGCCTACCCTAATAGCCACATCTTCGCCACCATTTAATTACCTTAATATTAAATATCCTAATACATAAGAAGCTATCCTATCTGTGTTAAATTAATTGAGCCGCAGATCTATGCATTCAGTGACAGTAGCCTCATAGTCAATATCTGCAGCAGTTGTCGGAGTTGGGGCAGAAGCTCGTTCCCCTGAGGCAGAGCAAAGCCGACCGAAGGAGAGAGAAAGACAGTCGACATCTCATCCAGGCTGTAACATAACTTCTGGCTGCTGCTTCTGTTCGGAGATCAACTCCGCGAGTCTGGCGTAGAAACATCTTGCACTTGGGCCCATCCCACCAAAGGTTGTGAACACTAGAGGAGTGAAGCCGCCTTGATCAACGTTTTGAATTCTCTCCCATATGCCCTTCTCTTGTCGTTCTCGTTCCTCCTATGTGCAGCATCGAGAGCTAGGTTACGGTGACATGCGGCCATGGGATCAAAATCCTGATGTCGAAGAAAGCTTCGCTGTCCGCGTCTAGAATCCTCGAGCACTGACGTCCACACGGGCTCGTTAGATGTGTTTGAAGTCCTGTGTTGGAAGATCTCGCTATCCAATGGAAGGAGGGTCGGTTCTACCATGACGTCCCGGCAGATTTCCTTCAACATGTTTGCTGTGAGATTCCTTACCTCGTCATGCCTCATGCATATGAAGCCCCTTCTTGCACACCATGGCGTGATCGCCATCATAGGAAGAGCCACACACGCATTGGGAGGGCAACCTTTCTACTGGCCGACCGTACCTTAGAGCAATGGCATCTGTTCTGTTTATTAAGACTGAAACCATTTGCCCTTATCGGTAACGTCGTTAACCAGTTCGAGGCGCCCACCCTCCTGCGCTATAGCTACTTTTTTTCAAATTTTCTGGAACCTGCAGCAACAGTTGCTGCAACTTATCATTTTGGCAGTGCTGTCGATCTGTCGTAATGGACCTACGAATCTTATTTACTTCGCTGGTATCCACTTCCCCTGTTGCATTCTGGGCTATTATGTGGTCCGTGAGGGCTGCCGTGAGCTTAGGTGAATTTTGATGTTCAGTAGCAGCAATCTCCTCTGGATTTGTTAGTCCCATCCCTCCCAGTCTTGGTGGAAGTGCAAGAAGTGTTCTTTCTTCTGGGGTTAAGTCTACTACTACTACTACTACTACTACTACTACTAATAATAATAATAATAATAATAATAATAACAATAATAATAATAAAGGACCATAAATAGATACAAAAAAAAAGAAAAAAAAATATCAAGAGTGAGAAACAAACAATTGAGACCTACAATTGTGTGTAAATGAGACAGAAGGTCAGATCAGCAACCTGGGACTTGGTCACATATGGCAGCAGGGTCTACCATTAGTTAGAGAAGGTTAATTAGGATAGATTAAATCAATAAGGTTAACTAATCTAACCTACGTTTCAATACTCTCCCACACCTCGACATCTTAAATAATACTAATAAAAAAATAAAGTAAAACCCACAGGACAGGAGCACAAACTTTTGAGAATTAGAGTGACTCCTAACTTCTGTAAAACGGTTACATACGTTCTCACATCTTCAGTTAACAGGAAAATAAGATCATACACATCTTGGGAGAGTTTTGATAAGCAGCGGGCGGAAGGGGGACGTCAAACACCCACCACCTATGACGTCATGGTCGACACACTACACCCACCTGTGTTGCCAAGCGGCATCTCATTGGCTAATTAAATCTCTATACTGGTATTTACTTTGTTACAATGGCAGTGATAATTAATCTTCAAGT